GAAGTCATTGTTAAATTCGATGCTTCTCACCACCACTTTTACTGGAGAAAACAGCCTTATTCCTAAAGTCAAGCAACCCTATAGGTATGTTTAAAGGATCATTCTAAGCACCATAACTAGGTGCAAATTAACTCTTTCCCACATTCTTTCTTTTTAAAAGGTTTAATTTCAAGATAAGTCCTCCTCCCTAGGCTGTCAGCCAGCTAGCTGGAACACATTCTTTTGTACTACTTTGTGTCTAGTGTCAGCTCACACAGTATGCTAACCCTAGAAACCTCGGGCAGGTTGCTGGGTGATTTACACACAGTGTCAAACCACCTCTGGGGTACTTTAGCTCTAGCTCCCTGATAAATATATAAAAATAAAAAATCAAACACAAGTTGGCTCTGTGTTTTTACATCTGCCCTTCCAACAACAACAACAAAAAAGAACAAACACTCTTTTTGAAGTTATGTCCAATCAAATTGCTTAAATGAAACCAAATAGCGGAAAGAAAGGCAATGTCTCAATCAGCGCATACATTTAAAAAAAAAAAATTACATTTAAAAAAAAATAATAATAAATTATCATTGCATAATGCAATGGGAAGGTTGCACTGGGCGGCACGTTAGGGGTATTCATGCTTTATTGGCACATCCTCCAAGACCATTAGCACCTCACCCAGTGCTCCCATATTTGAATCTATAAATAAAGTGTATGATACAAATACATATAAAGATATAGTGTCCAATATTCTACATTTTGTGTCTCTTTGCAGATGATTCATATTCTTGATTACTTTTTTGTAGTTTTTTTTTCAGTTTTATCTATTTGCGTGCCCTATTTTGGGACACAGGAAAGAGGATATTTTTTAAACAAAGTGGATTAATTCCACAAATGCCTCAGGAAGTGCGGGTTCAAGGTAGATCAGGCTATTAAAAGTTATGAAAAGTTAAGATAAGTAAGTGTGTAGTATCTAAACCATGTTGAGAACAGGAGACAGAAGATAAATTTGAGGACATACCTTATGACCCGCTTCCTCCAGAAGAGTTTTTGTTTCCTGAATTGCTCTTCTCATGGCAGGTGATGACATGAAGTAGCCATCGGTGTCATAAAATCCAATTGTCAAACGCTTTGAGCTGTTATAAACCTAAAACAATACAAAATATAACTGTTTTACCAAAATAACACAATAAGATTTCTCTAGTCATCAATGATTTCCTAGGGTCTAGATGTTATTTGTAATCATTTTACTAAGCACAGCGCTGGGTAAACGTTATGCTAAAATGGCAATTACTAGTATCGGTATCTAACCAGATACACAAACATAGAATACTCTCCTGGTGAGTAGAAAGAATCTCATAGAGAAATATAAAAATATTGTCAGGGAATGGTATTTTGTAGCTAGACTCAAGATTTCTGACAAGGCCTCCAAGGCCATGTCAAGCAGAAGAGGGTGGCATTCATTGATGATGATGCTTATCGTTGGTGTTAGAGCAGAGTAGTGGGGTGACAAGGAGAATAGCTCTTTCCCCTTCTCGTTCGGTACCCACGGTGGCAGCTGAAGGAGTTACAGGAGAGCTTGTGGAGATGATGTTAGCATCATAACCCAGCACAACCTTCTTTAACTCTTGCTGTTACTGACCAACCCCATCACCACTGGCCAGCAATCAGGTGATAACTTAGAGGTGGGTGACAAAATACCAGGGAAGGAAATAGAAAAATGAAGTGAGGCAATTTGTAACTCAGCAGGGAGAAATAAGGTGAGGAAAGGTCCGTTTAACCCCTTAAGGACCAAACGTCTGGAATAAAAGAGAATCATGACATGTCACACATGTCATGTGTCCTTAAGGGGTTAATGTGTTCATAAGCAGTGTATTTAGGTCTCTTAACTATATATATATATATATATGTGTGTGTATGTATTTATTTTTTAATATAGATACAACAGATGCTGCAGCCCAGTTTCCCCCGCCACAAACAGACAACAGCCCAATTTGGCCTCCAACTCTTACACAACAGTCCATGTCACCTCCAGACACATACCCTACTGGCTCTGGATAGACATAACAACGTATGTTCATAATTTGGATACAGTTACACCATAAATCATACACCTGTCCTGGTGTGCCTTCCCACCTGTAGCTACTTTTTACAAGCAAACTGTTACTTGCTAAACTCCTGCCACTGCTTTTTGCAGGTAGTGTCTGTAGGTGATAACTCTATCATTCTTACAATATTGCCAATTTCTGCTCTTAGGTGAGCACAGAAAAACATTTAATCGAGTGTGATGGGTTTCCTCTGGCTGAGCAAAATTTTCCCAGCCTCAAAAAAAAATCTTTTAATCTACAAGACTGGAGGATATGTCTGTTTAGGACATTGAAAAAATAAATTTTAGTGAGTCTGGGAGCTCATACCTCGTCTTTGAATGGAAGTGGAGGTACAAGGGGGTCCAACTGGAACATATCATCACACAAGACTGCTTTCATAAAGAGAGCTAGACTATCCACATCCCGTGCCATGGGTCCTGGCATCATGATTGCTACATAAACAAAGATAAATAATGTTACATGCTTGTCAGATTATTTTATCAGTGACTGTAAAAGACAACATTTAAAAAACAAAATATGGGAAAATGGAACCCATTGTAGTGAATTATGGTGTTTTGGCAAATGAACCGCACAATTTGGGATAAAACAGCCAATATGAAAATTTAGCTATGGAGGGGAACTTTCCAGATCAGCTGGCTTGGCCTACATTTTGCAAATTGTCTCTCCCGAATCTCTATTTAATGAATAATCCTACCAGTCACCAAAACTTTTTGGAAGCTACATAGATTTATTTTTTGTATTAATGAATGTTCACATGTTCATTTGGAGAAATGACTACTTATGTTGACAATGATGACATTTGTGGGTCTTTATATTAAATGCTAAAAAAGCTGACAGTAATGCAAGAAAATTTCCACCTCACCTCTGTCCTACACTTTTTTTGTGTCCATTAGAACCATTGTTGGAAGGAGAGGTAGTTACTGCACAGTAAAAAAAAAAAAAAAAATTACATGCATAAAAATATAAGAAATAAATAAAAAAGAAGACAAACCTGATTTCATTCCGCTAACTGGCGAAGAAAATCCTTGTGGGCTGTAAAAGAAAAATGCGTGACTTAATCCCATAACTGTGTGTATGTGTTTAATGGACAGGATGACCTATAGTACTGATCATTTTGTTTAGAAATTTCACAGATCTGCCCAAGAGAACCTAATCAGAACAACATCACCCTTTTTGAAAACGTGCTTCTCATTAATTGGGTAATTGTGAACAAAGTCTTCCATTTTCCATTAAAACATCCAGAAGACATTGCTGAATAATTAAATACTGCAGAGGGATGTAGAGAAACAAGGTGGTAAATGTTACTCACAGATGCGTATACTCCGAAACCCTCACCACTTGTTTTAGCCAACCATTTCCATATATATATGATGGGAAGGAGCAGGGATCTGCAATGTAATGTAATGCCTGGTTGTCTAATGATTTTGGTGTCCCTGGGGCTTAAACTCATTCTCCAGCTCCTTCCAGTGACTATGCTATGGTCAGTTAACTGCATGTTCACAGGCTATATTAGTAGTCACTGATGATGTATACTGCCAAGTGAGCAAAGACAGGATGAGGTAGACATCTTTTTGATGCCTTTATACCAGGCTGACAGATAGGGTGAAGGTGAAAAATGTGCAATATTGCTTGGTCCTTCAAACTTCTAAACCTGGCCACACCTGCTCCCCGTATGGAGCCTAACTGTATGTGCTATATACGGTATTATTTCAGACACCCGTTATACACAGGGATATTCCTGGCCATGTAGAGTTTAGGATAACAATAGCCGACCAAATAGAACAGATGTATTACCAGACTTTAGAGTGGCCGGGCTTAAACGTACAAAAGAGAGAAATCGTAGTCAAATACAAGGTTAGGTCAGGATAACAGACAGAGTAATCGTAAATCTAGCCAGAGTCTGGAAAATGCAATATAAGATGGACATATAAACTGTCCAGGTACGTAGTAATCAGAGTCAAGAACTGGCCAGGGTCAATACAAGAAAAATCAGATCGGAACAAAGAACACACTAAACGGGTACAAGGAACAGAACCTACAATAGGGCACAGTAAATGGGGCCAAAAAAACGTATATAGTGTTAGGTGGTGTGATTTGATTGGCCCACATCACACCTGCAACCCCAAAAGGTGTGTGAATGGGAATGCCAGATCGATGTGGACCACATGGAACAGGAAATGACGTGGCGCCCCTGGTGCTTCTTTAAAAACACAGGAGTATGGCCATTGGTGGACAGTCATTGTGGGCGTGTCATTACTGATTCTCACAGAGAATCACTGGAGCATGGCCATTGGTGGACAGACATTGTGGGCGTGTCATTACTGATTCTCACAGAGAATCACTGGAGCATGGCCATTGGTGGACAGTCATTGTGGGCGTGTCATTACGGATTCTCACAGCGAATCACTGGAGCATGGCCATAGGTGGACAGTCATTGTGGGTGTGTCATTACGGATTCTCACAGAGAATCACTGGAGCATGGCCATTGGTGGGCAGTCATTGTGGGCATATCATTACGGATTCTCACAGAGAATCACTGGAGCATGGCCATTGGTGGACAGGCATTGTGGGCGTGTCATTACGGATTCTCACAGAGAATCACTGGAGCATGGCCATTGGTGGGCAGTCATTGTGGGCGTGTCATAACGGATTCTCACAGAGAATGACTGGAGCATGGCCATTGGTGGACAGGCATTGTGGGCGTGTCATTACGGATTCTCACAGAGAATCACTGGAGCATGGCCATTGGTGGACAGGCATTGTGGGCGTGTCATTAGGATTCTCAAAGAGAATGACTGGAGCATGGTGATTGATGGACAGTCTGGCTGAAATACAGGAAGCAGGGAGAAAGCAAAGGTGGAAATGAATAGAAGAAAATCTGATCAAAGTAAAGATTAAAATTAAAACAGGTACTTTTAAAGCTAATTTTTACACTATTTAAGAAAAAAAAGTCTTCCTAAGAGATGATTACAAACCTCAGCCTATTTCCACTTGGTTTCAGGCCACAAACTCCACAGAAGCTGCATGGGATTCGAATACTGCCAAGCACATCACTGCCAACACCAAGGATGGCTCCTCCTGCTGCAATCAGAGCTCCCTCCCCGCCGCTTGACCCTCCGCAGGTCTTCTTGTGATTGTGCGGGTTCACAGTCTGTCCATAGATGGAGTTACTGCAATCAAAACTAAGATAACAAAAAGGAAACGTTTGTTCCGGCTTTCTTTTCAAGAACACAATAGTCTGATGACTGATTTTATAGCTCTACTTTACTACAAGGGGTAATGCCCTAAAACTGGAACTGTCATCATTGCACAAAGGAGTTCCAAAATAAATAAAAAATACTCAGCTTGAGACTTATTTCACTTCACATTGGCCTAATATTTCCGATTCTTTGTCCATTTTACACAATTTCTGCCATGCGGGGTGATTGGTTAAACGGTGAATTGTCAGGAAAAAAAAATGCAGAAATTTGCAGAAATTTCTTTGCAAATTCCTAGTGGATTCCTGCTAGTTCAAGGGTTAGTGAATAGCACTGCTTGTGTCTATTTTGCGTGCAATCTATAACAAGCTGAATTTCAAGAACTATTTCTATAAAGTGAAAAAAAAACAGTAAATTATGAAAAAAGAAAGAAAAAAATATGGAAATTCATCTATTTCAGTCACTTTAAAATATAATTAAACAATCTGTTGCTGAATCTTTTGTTAAAATTGCCATAAAAGCCCTGCCTAATAATGGCCAACAAGGATAGATTTAGTGGAGATTTAGTGGGTGTTGCATGGACAATAGATAAACAACAGCTGTGATTATTTCCAAAAAATGCCTTGAGGTTGGTTAACAAGGGGGCCAACTGCTTTGTGTTCCTTATCGGAATTCCACTAACTAACTAATGGGACAATTTTTTATTTTTTTATTTTTTTTAACAACAAACCATTTCTTTGTTTACACCTAGTTTGTTTCAGAGTTATAACTTGAGTAATTTTAATTTCTATCCACAAGCTGGTTGACATCATTTTGTTAAAATAAGTAACCCCCGACAATGAGGAATTATACTTTTATATAGTAAAAAATAAATAGTACTAGCAGATAATTACTTTATCATGGACTGCGGAATGTTGGTTTTTACGAAAGGGATAGCCCCCTGTTTCTTTAACACCTTGACAATATTACTGTCTTCCTTCTCCAATATCTCAAGAAAATGCACAAGCCCACAATGAGAGCTATGACCCTGGAGAGACAAAAAAACATTGTGAGTTTAGGAGCATATAAAAAAAACCTTAAAGGGACACTATAGTCACCTGAACAACTTTAGCTTAATGAAGCAGTTTTGGTGTATAGAACATGCCCCTGCAGCCTCACTGCTCAATCCTCTGCCATTTAGGAGTTAAATCCCTTTGTTTATGAACCCTAGTCCCACCTCCCTGCATGTGACTTGCACAGCCTTCCATAAACACTTCCTGTAAAGAGAGCCTTATTTAGGCTTTCTTTATTGAAAGTTCTGTTTAATTAAGATTTTCTTATCCCCTGCTATGTTAATAGCTTCCTAGACCCTGCAAGAGCCTCCTGTATGTGATTAAAGTTCAATTTAGAGATTGAGATACAATTATTTAAGATAAATTACATCTGTTTGAAAGTGAAACCATTTTTCTTTTATGCAGGCTCTTTCAATCATAGCCAGGGGAGGTGTGGCTAGGGCTGCATAAACAGAAACAAAGTGATTTAACTCCTAAATGACAGTGAATTGAGCAGTAAAATTGCAGGGGAATGATCTATACACTAAAACTGCTTTATTTAGCTAAAGTAATTTAGGTGACTATAGTGTTCCTTTAATCTGCACTAGACTGGAGGTGAGTATGTGCAGAGGATTAGGAAAAGTTATCGCATTATTTAACATTTTGTATATAGTGTAACTCTTTGACAATTAAATCAGTACTGATAAAGTTGCTATTATTAAATCAAGTAATTCTGCAGTTGCTGAGTATAAGACATGGGAACATTTAGAACCCTTTGAAACAGACTAGACTGATACAAAGAAAAGTCATTATATTGTAAACAAGATTACGATATTAAACAAAGGGAAAAGAAAACCTTTGATTCAGGAGCTATCAGACTGGGTTGTTTTTTTAATATTGGGAAGAATATTTAGATGGGTACACAAGATAAGGAGAGGTAGCAAAGGGACAGCGTAGTTAGATGACCGGCTGACCATCAAACTATGGAGACTCAAGGACAGCATTTCAGGAGTTTGTGCAAAGTGGTGGTGGCCAGTTGGATGTGAGAAGAGAGAGTCTTCAGTTTCTGGAGTGTACGATCACTAAACAAGAAGTAGCTCACCCAAGCCTGATGCTTCCACAGTTTTTAAGTAAAGGTTTATCTGAGCTATGTTTCAGTTGCAAACTATGAAATAAAAAAAATTTGGCTTTTGGAAATGATGAGACAATACAGGAGCAAGGAAAATAGGCTTACTCCGCAAGTCTTAACCAACTTTTTCTACAAGACGTTTATGACATTTCTTGGCACGTACCGTTTGTTAGAAGAGGATCAGATTCTAAAGAACTTTCATCACACTCTTTAATACATAAGCATTAATGCAAGAATTAAACTAAAGGAGGAATCCCCAATCATATAGTGGTCCCGGTGCTTCCAGACCTGGGGCTGGCTACCAGTATTCAAATGGTAAAACAGAAGTATGGTCCAGGCACTCAGGGTCTGTATTGGAAAACAGAATCAAAGTGCAATAGTTCCACTGAAATCTGTTTCAAGGTCTTCAAACTCTTTTCTACATAGGCATTGACCAATCAAAGTAGTAGGTATGGTAAGTGATAATGGTGGTACTACATTGGAAGCCAAAACAAAGAAGGAGTATGTACAGATGGGGAAATGATGGGCCATGAAGCGGAATTGTGTGACATGAACCTCTTGATATGAATGTGCCATTTCCTACATCCAGGTATTCTGGGATTTTTTTCTGGAGTCTCCATTATAAGTGCTTGAAAAAGATGACCTTATTGGGCTTTCTAAATTCCTAAACTATTTAGCTGAATACCTGTATATAAAACTCAACAAATAAATGGAAGAAAACTTAATGGATGCAACCTTGTATCCAACGTGGTCTTTCAGGCTTATGGGAACACCATAAAGCAATCCTTTCTCCGACTGTTTCTTTACTTCCTGGAGCTGAGCCTCGCATTCAGGAAGGAATTCTGTCAAACAGTTCAGCTCTTTGTTGACTTCTAGAGCCTTTAAGAGGAGGATAGATAAACAGACGCAATCAGACAAAAGGACATGCATTTCTTCTATATATAATCTAATGTCTAGAATTCTCACTAAACTAGGAAAAGTGAAAAATTAGTGATGGTAGAGTTTAGGTCAAATTGCGAAACTGGGAAAAGGGCTGAATTAGAAGTCTGCCACATCTTCTAAACCTGTATAAAAATATAAAGACCACTGTGTAATCTTACATTTAATTTCTTTTTTTGGCACTGTGTGTCTAGCTGACATTAAATGTGATTGAGAATTGGTGTTCTTTTTCAATCAATTGGTCATTATCATGTATACCTGCATATTTTATCTCTGAGAATTAGTAGTCGGACTATTTCATTTCTTTGATATTGTACACTGGACAGGTATTAGTTGTGGAATTACATTTCCATAATGTCCTGGCAAAGCAATGTATCATGGCAATTGAATTATAGTTTTAAACAGCTAGAACAATTGCTGGTGGCTTTACCCAACCATCGAACATCTCCTCTACTGATCAAACTAGCCAATGAGGTCACCGGTGCTGCAGTTGTCCCGTCATATTGGATAACCTGGACCCTCTAACTTTGTTAGAGCAGAATCAATGGACAGACCAAGGTAAGGAGATCTGTGCTGTCTGGGTCACAGATCATCTTCTTCACTCCATATGATAATGAAGAACTGCACCCCAGATATTAGTAAAGGGGGATTTCACCAGACAGGACCCCTCATTTTATTTATGTGGTGTAACCCTGAATATTTGATAACCTACAGGTATATAAAGCATACATCTCACCTTTTCTATGTAGACGTAAAGGGCGGTTTCTGGAGTTAGTGATCCTTTCCTAAGCTGTTCCACTAACTCTGCCAGAGACAGTGAAAGTACATGAGCAGGGTCGACGTCAGCATTCTGAAAAAGAGAGGAAAACCGTAAAGTTTGGTGATGGAAATCTTCACCTTCTAGAGTCTCAATCACCACTCTAACTAGATATTCATGTTGCGAATCAAGGTATTCAGGAACCAGGAGTAACCTGTGCAGCCGATACTCCAATCATATACTAAATCGCTCGGTTTTGTCATTGTCAACAATTGAAACATGAGTCTCTGTCCAACAAACCAACAACCAGTAGCAAATTTGAAAACTTAATAGCATTTGTCAAACTTTTCTAAACCAGTCAATGCATTGACTTTAGATAAAGTTGAACCAAATCTACAAGCCTAGTGTTTTGAACGGGAGTTACAGATTTGAATTGGTGCACTTACCAACGGAGCTATCTGGGTGACATACAGATATTGAGTCTAGCCAAACTGCTAAAAAGTTGTTGAATCTGCCCTCTGTAGAAAAATGCAGCTTTAATACAACATAGGCTCTTTAAATTAGTAATAGATTCAGGGAGCCTTTTCTCTATGGACAGGACAAGTTACTTCATATCACTTAAAAGTGTCTATGCATCATGTAATCTACGACAGGAATAGGTTCTTCTTGACTTAATCATCACAGATATGAATTATATCTGTCCCGGTGGGGGGATATAATGGCTGCTGCCCCAGAAGGGGTTAATAACGGGATTTATTAAAGTATTCACATTGTCCTCGTGATCCAGCAAGAAGGGGTTAATAACGGGATTTATTAAAGTATTCACATTGTCCTCGTGATCCAGCAATGTGTTTAGACAGCTGTTCAGCTATTTTCCTTGCATTCCCACACGTATTAAAATAAATGCATGGCGTTGACGATGGAAATATTGCAGTCATCAGTCTGCTATGGGAACAATATAACAAGTGACATTAACACATGGGAATCACCTTTTTACTGATCGACCCACCGGGTCTTTATCAATACAAATAGACTGCCATTTTCTGATCCCCAAGGTGCATTGCTACATTGTCTGACCTCATCCAGAACCTAATTTGAATTCAGATTTGATTTAATACATTTAAATGAGGATTTTGTTTCTTGCGTCTCTCCTTGCGATATATATTACCACTTTCCCTAAAAGGAATGTTTTTTCCCCACTAGTAATATTTGTATCAGTCAAATTCCATGATAATATGGTTGGGGAGAAGGATTATTTTATTTAAAAAAAACAAAAACAAAAAAACCAATAATAACAATAATGATATTATGGCACTATCCTCATGCACAGAAAATAAAGAGGGTGTATCACTTCTGAGCTTTTTGTACAGCCTGTTAGCTAATTAAACATGAGCTAAGGACTACCCCCTTTTTTCCAAACAAATATTTTTCTCCTGGTTTTATTAAGATTTATATCACATATCAGACTTTCAAGGAATTCAAGTTATAAAATACAAGGGCCACCCCACAATATTGTTTACATGAATGCGATTATTGATGACGAACATAGTGATGAAGCTATGTATAAGTACATGCATGTTCTGAGATGTATTATAAGATGTCACTGCTAGTACAGAAGTGCATTGGTAAGTGTTCGTTATACTTACCTTTCCTGACCAGATCACCCCATTAATTGCTTAGGTTACAGGAGTGAGCAAAAACAGATTTTTTTATTTATTTTATTTTTTATTTTTTTTCTGAGGAACACCGAATTGGAGCAAATTTGAAATAAAAATGGAAAAGTTAAGCAAAAAATGGCATATTTGGAAAAAATTCTCCCGATGCTGCTGTAGTCACAGTTTGGATATTTTAAGATGAATTTTCCGTTTTATATTCACTACACATGTTACCAACCGAAATATGAGATCTGCTTTTTAACAAGTGGAAAGGAAACCGGAATATTTCTTATGGATTAAACTGCCTTTTTAAACTCACTTCAAACGGTATATATGAGTGAGTATATATGAGTGAGTGCGTGGTTTCTTGCATGCTAGATTTATATATATATATAGTATTTAAAGACTGTTGTAGGTAAATAATTACCAATACCCCATGCAGGATTGGAACATACCTGCTGTTTGTACTGCATTACCGCATTCTCCATGAGACTCATGGCATGCATTCGCTGCACTCTTGCATGTGTAATTTTGTGTTTTGAGTTTCTCCGATTCATCCATTTTAGTAGAAGGAACGTGACGACCACACAGCAAAGTGCGGAGATAATGTAATGATTTGCCACCACGTCTGGCAGGATGTCCCGCAGTGATTTCCAGACCATAGTGATGGTGCAGAATTTCACATCCAGAATAGGGGAGCTTTTCGGGATGCGTGCAATATAAGAGTGTGGACCAACCCATCTCAACAAAATATAACGCCCACCAGTAACCTCCGTGCTCCATTGAAACGGGGATGGCATTACCTGGCAGACCTCCAAACCCTAAATGGCCGTGCATTTTTCCAACATATTTTAAAGGATATTAATAAGCCCTGCATTGTCCAGTTACACCCTGTTACCATGTCTGTTCTAGACGCTGTCTGCAGGTCGGTATCTGAAGCTCAGTGTAGATTAGATTAATCAATTATACATAACCGGGAATATTTACTACTGCAAATGTGGAGAATGCAGATACTTCTAGTGACATTTAAAAGATTTATCAAAATTGGATTTTTAAACAAAATATTTTAGGATTTCCTGAATATTATTAAAATCTAGTAGTCTTAATTCTAATCTTAATGTATTTTACCTTGTTTTTTCTTGTTGTGTGTAGTGTTTACAAGGTCCCCCTTGTTCTTTTTTATAAAAAAATATTTTAAAATAGCTACAAATGATCTTGTATTGAGCGTCAGGGGTGCAAACTGGTAACTTGCCTAGGACTTTGTGGGATCTTAATCTTTTTCAGCTCTACATGAAAGATTGGTGGCAGCTCCTTTTTTGGAGCATAACTCTGACTAATCTCAGGCAGACATTAATTTCATGTTCCTGCCCTGAGATTAGGGGGGCCCCAACACTAAGCCCCACAATCATGCAATATAAAACATACTTTGCACAGAAGCTATTAAATCATATACAGGAGTGATATGGACAGACAAGGTAAGTATAGCATTCACCTCCCTAAAATTCCGTATTCCAGACTACATTATTATTCTCTGAGAAATGCTTTACGCAAGAAGGTGCACATTGCAAAACTTCCAGTGCAGTAGGCTTGGATGAGGTTTCCAGGGTCGGGAAATCCATTTGTAAACGGAAGAAAGGAGATTTAGTCTAAACAAAGAAAAAGGTTCTTTACAGTAAAAACAATTAGAATGTGGAATTCTCTGCCTGAAGAGGTGATTTTATCAGAGTCTGTACAGATATTTAAACAGCAACTGGATGAATACTTGTAAAAACATAATATTCAGGGATATAATATTTAATATTTGGGGTAACATCTTATTGATACAAAGAGAGATCTGTGTACCATTCTGGGATCAGGAAGGATTTTTTTACAAGTTTTTTGCAAAATTATAAGCACGTCAAACTGGGTTTTTTGCCTTTTTTGGATCAACAAAAAAAAAATGTGAGAAAGTCTTAACTTGATGGACGTACGTTTCTTTTCAGTTTATTCATCTGTGAGCTCAAGTGTACGACATCACTGGCTTTTTTTTAATTTGAAAAGTATCCTCTTGTTCTGCCATTATGACATATCAGACATACTGTTACAATGAAAACCTAAAGGAATTAACGATTTATTTTTTAAATAGCACAACCTAGCTTTTACATCAGCTATCAGGCTGTACAAAAATCAAAGATAAAAGATTTTTAGGGAGTGCCATTACACAATTTCACTTTTTACAGATATATTTTGGATAACTCCTATTAGGTATATGTAATTATAATAATGATTCACACTTCGTATTAAGTAACACAGTCTGTTACATAATTCCAGTTACATAATGTTACATATACACATCCTTGTGTGCAATTCCAAACTTGACCAGACGGTGTCACTGTTGCATTACATTCATTCTGATTTGCTGTGAGCCTTTTGACTCTCGGTTTTGTGTCATTTTTAAAGAGTGACTATTTTGTAAACATCTGCTTGGACACAGGCAGGGCCAGATTGATGTCTCAAGTGCCTGTAAGCATAGAATTCTAAAGAAGGCCCCCTTAAAGCAACCACGTGCAAAAAAGCGAGTTTGAAGGGACACTGCGGGCACCATAACAACGTAATTGGAATTAAGCTGTTATGGTGCAAAGAGGTCCCTGATGTAACAAGCCATTAACACTTCGTCTAACCCCAAAAGATTTAAATACTGTGCCGCTCAGCTCGGCTGACCAGCAAAGTATTTAAAACTTTTGGGGTTAAACGATGCCTTTAATGGTTTAACGCATCGCACTGGGAGCCATTGATCAGTTGCCTATTCGTAGCTCCCCATTAACAATGTAGAGTGGGAAAAATATGTACGTTTCTCTCTACATTTTGTGAAACAGGAGCTAATGAAAGGCTGAGAGTGTCCCAGTCCAAGGTTTCCTAATTCAAGCCTTAGTCTGCAATGGATGCAGATGGGTAGAGCTGACAGTTTGGGGTTAAACCATTCATTAACGCTGAATGCAAAAATTAGACACTTTGACAATTAGGGGAAGAAACACAGGGAGGCTTTCAACCTCTTCGATTAGTTTTAACAGACGTGGCAGTCTCACTAAGCTAGAGGACACCTGCTTTCCCTTTTCCAGTGTTGTTGTTTTGAGATATGATATATAAGTGGAAGACCCTCTCCAGTGGTCCTCCCGCACGGTACATGAAAGTAAGCAGGAGGAAAAGTGGAATACACCACACAGGAATGGTGGGGGGAATTGGAAAAGACCCACAAAAGGGGCTCGGAGGGGGGGAGGGGACACAAACATAAGGGCAGCGGGGTGGAGTGACACAGAGTGCGGAGGAGGGGAAGAGGCATGTAGACATGGCTGGATTTACATGTCCGGTGCATGTGGGCACAAAGGTTTAAGGTGCCCCCTGCTCAGATAAGTTAAGAATTGGTGTTCAGGAGGTGTTTAGATTTTAGAGTTAAACATAGGATTAAGGTAAAGGGTTAATTTTCAGGTTTAGGCTGTGAGTGCTGGAATTTGGAGGCTTATTTGTAAAGTGCTCACCTCCGTATGTCTCCTGTAGCCCAGTCAGATTGATGATATTAGACTGCAGGAGCCGTAATACAGTGTGCATCATTCAGTGCTGTCTGTGGTTATACAGTGTGCATCACTCAGTGCGGTCTGTGATTATACAGTGTGCATCACTCAGTGCTGCCTGTGATTATACAGTGTGCATCACTCAGCACTGTCTGTCATTATATAGTGTGTATCACTCAGTGCTGACTGTGATTATACAGTGTGCATCACTCAGTGCTATCTGTCATTATACAGTGTGCATCACTCAGTGCTGTCTGTGATTATACAGTGTGCATCACTCAGTGCTATCTGTCATTATACGGTGTGTATCACTCAGTGCTGTCTGTGATTATACCGTGTGCATCACTCAGTGCGGTATGTGATTATAAAGTGTGCATCACTCAGTGCTGTCTGTGATTATACAGTGTGAATCACTCAGTGCTGTCTGTGATTATACAGTGTGCATCACTCAGTGCGGTATGTGATTATAAAGTGTGCATCACTCAGTGCTGTCTGTGATTATACAGTGTGCATCACTCAGTGCGGTCTGTGATTATAAAGTGTGCATCACTCAGTGCTGTCTGTGATTTTACAGTGTGCATCACTCAGTGCTGTCCGTGACTATACAGTGTGCATCACTCAGTGCTGTCTGTGATTATACAGTGTGTATCAGATAAAGATTCCCCTGCTCCTCATGACGGCATTTCCTGTGTGAGAGGCTGTTAGTGGGCCGATGGGAAGTGATCCCCTTCCACTTTCTGTCCAGCCTCACATGCAGACACTGGAGGTGATTGTGCAAAGTCACTGGCAATTATCCCATCAATATCAGATACATTGTGTACCAGAGAGTATTGAGAGGAGCAGGTAAGGGCACCTGGTAAGTAATCACTCCACATTCATTGATGCCCCCATAATATATACATATCACACTTCCAGGGTTATTCAATAATCTGGGATTTAATGGTATTAGATTAGAGAATTTCACATTTTAAGATAATTTAGCTGGAAAAGCTGCTTACATTATTATTTTTTTTATTCTGCTTATTTATGATAACATGTAAATATCCCTGTTAATTTCACAATAATTCTTGGTTTAAAAAAAATCTAAGTGTCACCTAGATCATTCAGAAACAGAACACAAAACTCAAGAGAAAAATAATAATTTATAACCCTTACAAACACCGAGCTGATACCGAGAGAGACTGCCCCCTAGCGACACCTAGTGTGGTAAAACAGAGTAGGCAGCCCAATAGCCACTCTTTGTGGGAATGTAGAGAGGATCCCGCAATTAGCTCTACAATATTCAGGTAGCAATAATAATATAAACGTTACTTTATCCAGTTACACCGTGCGTTAGGAATCAGATGGATTGTTAATTGTATAAACACTTGCAAGTAGAAAGGGAATCAAAATGTAGATGAAAAATTGTCACACTAACAGCACAATTTACTAATGAGCGCACATTGAATCAATGCTTTCCTATGGGGGGTTTTCAAGACAGTGGGCATCCTCATGCACAGCATCGTTTCATTGAGTCAAACTCTGTATGAATGCAGGAAGCGCCTCTAGTGGCAGTCTGGTAGTCTTAACCCTGCACCCAGACCACTTCAATGAGATGATGTGCTCTGCATACTTATAGTGTCCCTTTAACACACACCTGCCTGATGGTAACCTATAGCAGACTAGATGCCATTGTTATAGTCTGATCATTGGAAGCAGCCTTATATGCCAAAAAGCTTACATTTCAATAGTCGATGGCTTATTTCATAGATTGTACGTAACTTGAAAACATTGCAAGAACAAATCACAGGCTCCAGACATTTAAGAAAGTAATGTTTGCAGTATGTTTTATCTATTTTATGACAAGCCATACACTGCAGACTATTGTTTAACCCCTTAAGGACGGAGCCAAATGTACATATTGTGAACAAAACAAAATGTAAACAAAACCTGGCATTTGCGCTACATGTCTGTCCAACCGTAATACACCTCTTTCATAGTAAATGCACCCACCCTTATTGTATATCATTTTATTCAGGGGAAACAGGGCTTTCATTTAATATCAAATATTTAGCTATGAAACATAATTTAATATGAAAAAAATGGGAGAAAATACGTTTTTTTTGGATTTTTTTAGTTCTACATGACATTTTAACGGTCAATGTCATAATACTGTTTGCTTTTACTGCAATAAAATACACATATTTATATTCAGTAAAGTCTCACGTGTAAGATAGTACCCCCTAGGTACAGGTTTTATGGCGTTTTTGGAAGTTACAGGGTCAAATATAGCACGTTACATTTGAAATTGAAATTTGCCAGATTGGTTACGTTGCCTTTGAGACTGTATAGTAGCCCGGGAATGAAATTTAGACCCATAATGGCATACCATTTGCAATAGTAGACAACCCAAGGTATTGCAAATGGGGTATGTCCAGTCTTTTTTAGTAGCCATTTGGTCACAAACACTGGCCAAAGTTAGCGTTCGTATCTGTTTTGTGTGAAAAATGCAAAAAATGCCAATTTTGGCCAGTGTTTGTGACTAAGTGGCTACTAAAAAAGACTGGACATACCCTGTTTGCAATACCTTGGGTTGTCTACTATTGCAAATGGTATGCCATCATAGGGGTAATTTTCATTCTTGAGCTACCATAGGGTCTCAAAGGCAACGTAACCAATCTGGCGAATTTTAATGTGAAAAAAATGAAACGCAAGCCTTATATTTGACGCTGTAACTTTTGAAAACACCATAAAACCTGTACATGAGGGTACTGTTGTACTCGGGAGACTTCGCTGAACACAAATATTTGTGTTTCAAAACAGCAAAAAGTATCACAGCAATAATATCGTCCATGTAAGTGCTGTTTGTGCATGAAAAATGCAAAAAACTTCACTTTTACTGGCGATATCATCGTTGTAATACATTTTACTGTTTTGAAACACTAATATTTGTGTTCAGTGAAGTCTCCCGAGTAGAACAGTACCCCCCATGTACAGGTTTTATGGTGTCTTGGAAAGATATAGGGTTAAATATAGTGCTAGCAAATTAAATTCCCTTTACTTTCGGCATGGGTTGTCAGGCAGGTCCTGCTAATTGTAATTAAATAAGATACCTAATTATGTAAAAATATTACATAAATATATATGTAGAATTAATATATGTGTGTGTGTGTGTGTGTATATATATATATATATATATATATATATATATATATATATATATATATAACACGTATGTGTATATATATGTATATATCTATATAATTTTTTTTAAAAATATTTTTATTTATATATAGGTATATATATAGTGATATATACGTATATATTTATGTATATAGATATATATATTATTTCGTTCTACGTGTATTTTGATATATATATTAATTTCACAAAACAGTTAGAACGAAATAACACACATCTATATATTTTTTAATTATTTATTTTTAATTATTTTTTAATTTTATTTTTTAACGTATTTACATTTTTATTTTTTTTATATTATATATAAATATATATATAACAATAATTATATATATATTTAATCAGTATCAGTCTACGTGTAATTTGATATTAATATATATATATAATTATATATATATTAGTAGTAAAATACACCTAGACGGTGTATGTGTGTGTATGTATATGTGTATATATATACTTAGATCATATATATATAATATATACATATGATCTAAGTATATATAATTATTTTTTTTTACACCATTAACTTATTTTTATTTTATTTTCAGCCAGCAGGGGGACCACCTGTAATTACAGGCAGCCCCCCTGCCGGCAATACAGAAGCCAGCTATCCCCGGCCATGCCATTGTGGGGTCCTCGCTAGGACCCCACTCTCACATGGCCGGGGGGCTTCAACGAGGACGGATGTGCATCGGGGGGCTCCCTGGGAGTCCCCCCCACCGCGATCGCCGGCGTGGGACCGCCGGCGACCGGGTAAGTTAACAAAAACCGGAGGGCGTACAATTACGCCCGGCGGCGTTTAGAGCCGCCTATTAGAGGGCGTAATTGTACGTCCTCCGGTTTTAAGGGGTTAAGAGACCTCATTGTCTGGTATGACATTCCCCGTCTGGTATGTCTATTCTGAAGATACTACATAAAATAAACATTGTAATTGGTCAATCACTGTAGACAGACCCAAGAACAACAATTTAAAGTCATATGTTGATATTTCTGGCTATGTTCTCCAGGATTCTATGTCAATTCCAAATGAAAGTGTGAGGAGCATGAAATAATGCGGCCATATGAATTAATATTGTAAATTGCTACGGAATCTGTTGGCGCTATATAAATGGCAATAATAATAATAATATGAATGCCAGGAGATTTATATTTCAAGCACAATAATTGGGTAATGTAAGTATGATAAAACAATCTAAAAAGTGTGTGTGTGGGGAGGAAGGGGAGTGAATACACAGCCCTTCATGTTTTACCAACAAGAACTACAACTCATAGGACTTCCTTCTGCTGGGAGTCACCGCTCTATGGAATATTCTGAATATTGTAAAGGTCACAAGTCCACCTCTGAGAAACCGTGTTATGTGGCGAAATCACCTATTTCCATACTGATGTTTCCTTTGTGATCTTCACCCTCCCAACATGCATGTGGGATTATTCTGTAAAGAAGCATTTGCAAATTTTAAACAAAAGTAGCAGAACTTGAAAGATGCTCAAATTTGGGTATCTTTATATATATTTTTTTTTTGTTCCAAAACTTGTATTTTGGCCTAAAAATTCCCTTTGTTTATTTCTTCACAATTCCAAGTGAACTTCGTAGATCACCTCCGTCCATGAAGTGAGTTTGGGAAGTCAACAGTTGTGAATAGAAAAAAAGTTATCTCTTCCCAGTTTATCCTTTTTTTAAACCACTATTCACATAACCTCGACTGCACAGCGCTCAAAATATATCTGGGTTTTTACATTGTATTAGCTTAACAGAAATATAAATATACATCACTCACATGTAACCTACCTCCTTCTTAAAATTTGAACTGATTTTCTCCATGAGCTGTAGTGATTGTTCTCTTTCTTTCTGAGCTGTGTCTAGTTTCATCCTGGTACGAATGTGGTCCAGACATTTTACAATCAGGGTAGATATAACCAGGCAACAAAAAGTGGAAATGAACAAATGGTTTAAAGTAAACTCGAGCAGAGTCCAGATCATTCTGTCGTCCCCGAGTAATGTCACAAACAAGAACCGAGCTCCTTTCTTGCCCTTTGAAACTTCTCAAGACTGCCCTTTTTTTACTTCTAGATCTGAAACGCTCAACTGTAGTACTCAAACTGTGGACTGGACCTCCACGTTCTTGCAAGTTGTTTGTTTTCCTACTGTTACAACAATCAGTGGCCAAAATTAATGAGTGAAATGAATTAAAAGCTATCTAGTTGTTGTAAAACCAAAAGAGCTAGTTAGGCAGCTGGTTAGGATTTGGATTTAATTGTAAGTCGGCTTTATCCATGACGGCGTACTGTATATGGACATATCTACTGACTTTACTTCGACTGCCAAGTGATCAGATTTTTTTGAAAGCCGAGATGGTTTCTGACTTCAACTGGTATCCCAGGAGAGAGGAAGGGAGTGGAGGGGGGAGCATCTAACCCAAATATACCAAGCAAGATCATAGCATCATAAAAATAGCTATGCCTGACACAGGAAGGCAGAGATCTACTAAAGGTCTTAACCCATTTGGAACCGTTAGAATACAACAACGCACAAAGGAAATGTCACACTGATTAGCCATTGGAATTATAGAAGAGAACAGCAGATGAAGATTGTTTTGCAACATTTAAACTGACACTCCAGGCGTCATGACTTCAACAGATTATTGTTAAGGATAAGGATAAGGCCTGTGCTTTGGGTTTTGTCATAGTGAATTCAGATAGTTTGACCATAATCAGAGCATCTTTGGCAGCCAGAGCCTATCAATTCTGCTGCTAGAGTGATTAGATGAAAGTTCAACTTCTGTGTTATCTGTACAAATGCATCCATGTCGGAACCGCAGAGATAGGTACCGAGTGATGGGCTGAGCGAGATCTTGCAGTCTATTATTGCTGTCAAAAGTAAGAAGGACTATACCCACAGAGGTCTTGTACCATCATCACTGCAACAAGCTGTATTGCATTTATATACGATAGTCGCAGCTGATGTGACTGTATCCTTAAAATAACTGCCTAAGTAATTACAATGTATGTTTACAGTGTTTCTACATATCTTTGGCTATAATTGAATACAAGTTTGAGAATTCTTCCAAATCTTTTATTTTTGCCCAAAATCTTACATTCAAATTTCAGTTTTCTACAATTTGGGGTTAATTCAATAAACTCCAATACTCCCATTCGCAGTGTTGTTGGTTTGAAAAGATTACACATCACAATAGGTCATCCTTGGGTTTAAACACGTGCACACTGTATACAGAATATTAGATTATGTTTTATACTGAAACATTTCATCAACACAGGAAAACAAGCCAAACAAGACAGCTTGTTTGTTTTCGGCTTTTTGTAATACATACACACATTAAAAACATATATATATAATATTATATAAAAATATTACAACATTATATCATTCATAGATTCATATATTTGTTTAACACCATCAAAGAATGTTGGTGACATTAAACTCTTGTATTAATATTAAAAGTGTACACAAACAGACTGTGGTTTATTCACTAAAAATCTAATTACATGGAATTGAAAGAAAGTGAAACGTAGACTAAGATAAAGAAGCAGTGACTATAGTGGAGCGATTTTTATTTTAGCTGAAATTTTGTGATTCAGGTTTTTTTTTTTTTACAATTTACTGTTGGGTGAATAATAGACCCCCTAAATCTAAACTATTACAAGAGCTGGAAGTATTGAAGTTTTTAATTTATACAACCTAGTTTCCTCTATTTCTGCTGGTAAGATGTTTTAAGACATCAGCAGATTTGGGGGGGATACTTAAAAGTAGGTTTGTGGTGCAATATTCTCATAGTGAAGCTGTCACTATGGGAACCACAATAGGGTCTCTATAACTTTGCTTCAAAATTACTTTTAGGATTATAAACTAAAGTGAGACGTGTCAACAGCTCAAGTAAATTTAAGGCTAAAATATTCCAACTGGAAAAATTCTCCAATCAGCTACGCTTTCAGTTCTGCTATTTTGGACTTCACTTTGAATTCTCAATTTAGTAAATAACACTGTGACTTTTTTTTCCCTCCTAATTATGTCTCACGTAAAACTAATAATCCTGTCTGTATACAGAACCCTATTGCCTACACTTTTAGGGGAGAAAAGTGGAGTGGGAAGGCCGGTAGACATTGTAAGCAGTCATTGATATTTTTAAGATCTCCAACTCTCGCTTGCTATACCTGGGGCTTGTGACGATTTCTCAGTTTTTCCATCATCCCCAGACCATTGTCTCGCAATGTCCGTGCTCGCTCGATTCTCATTGTGGTCCTTCTGTCGCTCATCCATCGCACAATGAATATGGCACCAATTGAGCCCAAAAGCAAAGTCACAAAAAAAAGATCAGCGACAAATTCTGGAAGGAAATGGCCAAGTAATTTCAGGATCATGGTGGGATAGCTGAGGATTCTGTAGGAGCTCTGTTTCAGGCTCCTGCGTCTTGTGGCATATAACACTCAAGTCATCTGCACACGGGTCTGTGTGCCAAGGAGAGGAAGACAAAATCTGGACTGGATCCCTTGGGACGGAGCCTCCAGAACCTAGCTCGTACATGAGCTGAGATCAAATCAGTGATACAGGCACAGAATACTCATTTTTGGAATGCCAAGTCAATTTCAATTTTAGACCAAACTTGCCAAATCAGATAAAGGGGGAAAAAAAAACTAAACAAAATTCAGCTAAATATTTCATTTCAGCTAATTTTTATTTTGCCCTACAATAAATTAACCGGTAAATATTTATCAAGTCAGCTTGTTTGACTACTTTGGCCTAAATTTGAAATTCACTGTAAGGGTTATCCACTAAAGTGAGAATTCAAGGTGAAATCAAAGTTAATTTCAAAAGTAAAGTCAAAATAGCCGATCTGGAAACATTGTCTAAATCAGCTATGCTGCCCATTCGGCTGCTCTGGTCTTAAAATTTAAATACACTTTGAATGCTCACTTTAGTAAATATTCCTGTTTGAATTCATAATTCTGTCTTCAGTGAATAACCTCTCTCAAATATATAATCCCATTAGCGAGAGATGTAAGACGGGGAACTACCCCAGAAAGTCGTGTAATGTGGGTTATTAAACAGGCTGCAAAGTGAGAAAACTGTGACATCTTAAAGGGACACTATAGTCACCAAAACAACTTTAGCTTAATGAAGCAGTTTTAGTGTATAGATAATGCCTCTGGAGTTTCGCAGTTCAATTCACCGCCGTATAGGTGTTAAATCACTTTGTTTCTGTTTATGCAGCCCTAGCCACACCTCCCCTGGCTATGATTGACAGAGCCTGCATGAAAAAAAACTGGTTTTACCTTCAAACAAATGGTGCTTTAAAAGTTTTTTTTTTTTAATTTTTTTTTTTTTACTCTTGTAATTTGAACTTTAACTACATACAATAGGCTCTTGTGATGTCTAGCAAGCGACTAACGGGGCAGGAGAGGATACATTTTAAATTAACTGAAATTTGAAATAAAGAAAGTGTAAAGATTAGGTGTTTCTTTACAGGAAGTCTGTGTAAGTCATATGGCGGAAGGTGTGCCTAAGGCTACATAAACAAAGTGGATTAACTCCTTAACCCCTTCAGGACGGAGTCAATAGTGCACGTTCTGATAAAAAACAAAACATAAACAAAAACTGGAACGTTCAACCGTAATTCACCGCTGTCACATTAAGTGCACCCACACTTATTATATATCATTTTGTTCAGGAGAAACAGGGCTTTCATTTATCATTAACTATTCATATATGGAACATAATTTATTATAAATAAAATTTTAAAAAAATGTGAGAAAATAAGATTTGTTTTTAAATTTGTATTTCCTTCTGACATTTTAGCTGTGAATGTCATAATACTGTTAGGTTTTACTGGAAAAAAATGCCCATATTTGTAATCAGCGATGTCTCACGTGTTCTACGTGTATACTAATGTAATCTTTTATGTAATAATATGTATTTATCTATATATCTATATATCTATATATATATATATATATATATATATATATATTTGCAGTAATTTGTATTTTATATATAGATAGATATATATATATATATATAGAATGTCATTCTAAGTGTATTTTGTTAAATATATATATATATATATATATATATATATATATATATATATATATATATATATTAATAACAAAATACAGTTAGAATGAAATTACATAAGAATATATAATTTATATTAAATTTTGTTTCAATATTTTATTTATTATTGTAATTATATATATATATATATATACACATACACACACACACACACACACACACACACACACACACACACACACACACACATATATATATATATATAAAAAAATATATGTGTATATCTATTATATTGTCATAGTGAATTCAGATAGTTTGACCATACTCACAGCATCTTTGTCTCACAAGTACAACAGTACCCCCCCATTAACAAGTGTTATGGTGTCTTGGAGAGTTACAGGGTCAAATATAGTGCTTGCGAATTAAATTATCTGCACTTTCTCCCTGTGTTGTCAGGCATGTCAATCAAATTTTAATTAATCAAATCACATAATTATGTTAAAAGATTACTTAAATATACATGTAGAATTTTAATATATGCATTTATAGGTATTTAAATTCTACGTGTATACTAATGTAATCTTTTATGTAATTATATGTATTTATTTATATATATATTTGCGGTTATTTGTATTTTATATATAGATATTTATAGAATGTCATTCTAAGTGTATTTTGTTACATATATATACACATATGCATTCATTTTACATTCATTGTGAAGCTGCATTCTTAGTGAGCTGTCCAGGATGTGGGAGAGTCTGGGAGGGAGGGTCTGCTGCTGATTGGCTGGAATGTGTCTGCTGACTGTGAGGTACAGGGTCAAAGTTTACTCAATGATGACATAGGGGGTGGACCGAACAGCACATATGTTCGCCATCCACAGCGAACCGTTCGGGACATCACTAATGACATGTCTGGTAGCATTTTGGAGGGGTAAATAAGGAAACTCAACAACATTTTTAAGGAAAACTGTAAAATTTTTATGAAGGACAGCCAAAAGCATTCAGGGTGTTTAGTTCTCTTTACACAAAGTACATGCGACCACTAATAAAATATATATATTTTGAAAGCTACACTTACAGCAGCCATCAAGCACCAAAAATATGATACATGGTATTAACCCCTACAATCCCAATTATACACTGGCTAACACGCTATTCTCCCTACACACAGACATTTTTACATTCTGGGGAACTTTTTAGGACACTGCATTCCCAGAAATGATGTTACGCTTGTTACAAACACTCACAAGTAGGGTATTTGTAATTCTATGCTTACATTTCGAACCCTGTCTGAAATATTGGAAGGAAAGGTATGCTACACAGTCTATGGAATGTTTCTCATCCAAATAATCTTGTATAGTATAACATTTCACAATGAAACATTTACCTAACATGAACATTTTTAGGAATCCTGGAACAACAATAAGGATGTGGACTTCTCTGCCTGAAGAAGTGGTTTTATCAGAGTCTGTACAGATGTTTAAACAACTGGATGTATACTTGCAAAAACAGAATATTCAAGGATATCATTTTTAGATTGTGGGGCTATAGCTTCTTGATCCAAGGGTATATCTGACCGTCATTCTGGGGTATAATTATTTAGATTGTGGTGTTATACTATGCTATATTATTATACTTATGCGCTAGAATACTTGTGTGTTAGCTATGTAACTTCTGTTTATATAAATAATATGGTGATTTTTATATGTATGACACTGAAGGCATTGGCTATTTAAGCGCTAGAAGAGACAGGACGCTTCTTACCTGGCTGATTATGGAATGGATTACTTGGCTTTCAGTCCACTAGAGTGGGCATGTATCCTGTATACAATGCCCGCAGGGATCAGCCTCTCATCCGCCTTCAAGCGCATATGTATTACTAGGCCAACTAAACTTGGTCCTAAGTCTGTATATTTAGAGGAATTTATAGACATTTTCAAATTTTGGTTTAAAACATTGTTACAGTTACTGATGTATTTGCGAATTACCTGTTGCAACATACAAATCATATTCTTTGGTGATAATTTTTCCCTTGAAGGGGACATTCTGTCTGCTATTTAGGAAGATGACATAATGGTACTGGGATGTGAGGATTCTAGCATTTAAGAGGGTTTGTATATTGTATCAGGATGATTTAAGAATTCTGGTGATTTGGGTTATTATTAAAGGATCACTATAGTGTTAGGAAAATAAAGTGGTTTCCCTCAGGGTCCCCCTCCCGTGGCGCTAAAGGGGTTAAAACCCCTTCAGCAGCTTACCTTATTCCAGCGCCGGTGACCTCTCCTCCCCCGTCCGACGTCAGCGGACCCGAATACGCATGCATTCAAAGTGTCCATAGGAAAGCATTTCTCATAATATGCCTCCATCGTCGCAGATGCGCCACTAGTGGCTGTCCAGAAGACAGCCACTAGAGGCTGGCTTAAACCCAAATCTAAACATAGCAGTTTCTCTGAAATTATTATTATTAAGGTTACGATATAGGTGTGATGTCAGAATGCTGGGATATTGGGTTATTATTAAGGTTAAATTATAGGTGTGATGTGAGGATGCTGAGGTATTGGGTTATTTTTAATATTACGATATAGGTGTGATGTGAGGATGCTGGGGTATTGGGTTATTTTTAATATTACGATATTGGTGTGATGTGAGGATGCTGGGGTATTGGGTTATTTTTAATATTACGATATTGGTGTGATGTGAGGATGCTGGGGTATTGGGTTATTTTTAATATTACGATATAGGTGTGATGTGAGGATGCTGGGGTATTGGGTTATTTTTAATATTACGATATTGGTGTGATGTGAGGATGCTGGGGTATTGGGTTATTTTTAATATTACGATATAGGTGTGATGTGAGGATGCTGGGGTATTGGGTTATTTTTAATGCTAGGATATGGGGGTGATGTGAGGATCCTGTGAATTGTGGCTATTACTTTGAAGGATATAGTGGTGATGTAAGTGTGCTGGGAGATAAGGGGAAGTAACGGTGTTTGGGTTAATAGGGGACACATTCATTGAGGGATTAAATTGCTACATGCTCCCGGCTTCAAGGTACTTGTGAGTGCGCCTAGTGTCTGGTGGTCACTCTCTGGCTTTTCTCTGAGTTACAGTTTCTACTTCCTTCATAAGGCGGAGGCATTGTTCTTCTTGCCAAGGTAAAGCCACACATTGCACAGCCACGGGAAGACCCACGCCGTCTGACACAGCCTGCAAAGCAAAAATACATGGTGCGATTATTGTGCAAAGAATTTGCCCATACTGCCCACATGTGCTTGCTCTTTTATACTAAATTAATGTTCTAAACTGTTAATACGCGTTATATTTAGAATGCGTGGCATACT